AGGCCTTCTTCCAAGGCTTTGGTCCCATCTTCCAGTAAACTTAATCAACTTCTTATTCCTCCTCCTTTGGAGTCAATCACCCAATCTCAATCCCTTGAAATGGTTAATCGTTACCAAATCCTTGGTAACATTTACCGTCCTAATTACTCATCTGCTTTGGCTACTGATCCTTTTGCTTCTAGCCAATCAGTTTCAGTTATTCCACTTCCAGTTAGCCCAGTCAAATCATCCTGGTCTGAGTACACCAAATCGCATATTACTAACCTGTTCTACAAAGAACCAAGTCACCCCAAGAGTCAAACCATTCATGAAATTGCTCAATCTTATTTTGGCTCTGGATGCCATTTCATCCTTTTCCATCCAGAGAAAACACTCTCCTACTACAAGGATATTTTGATTCATCATCAATCAATTCTAATTAAACCAATTCAGGATCGAACTTATTCCTTTAAGATCCTGTATCATTCAATCTACATTCACAACATTGTTTTCTTAGCTGAATGGGGTCCTCCTTATCAGCTTCGAGATTTACCTGGTCACTTCATTCAGTATAATTACCATGATTATGTTGATGCTTGGTTCAAGATTTTCTTGTACCAAAATGAAACCTTCAGTCATTCTTGGTTTATTTCATTTGATCAAAAATTCAAATCTGAGTTCTCTTTTTGGTTTCTCCGTTGGTGGACTCATTACGGCGCCATTTCAGATATTCTCCCTGATGGCCTTAATGAGCTAATCCATTATTTTGCTTCTGCTTACCCATTCACCACTCACCAGAGACAATTTCCATTATTGCTAATTTTTATATCCAAATATAAAATCCCTTGGATATTCAAATGGCATTATGGACTTGATGATAAAATAGTCATCTGCCAGCATTCAGTCAAATGGTAGGCTAAGTTCAATTTGCCCCGCATATTTGAAATTGTTCAAGAAGAATTCCCATCTGATCAATGTGCTCCTACTCCTGCACTTGCTAAAGCTCAGCAGAACCCAACTGCTACAATCAGTCATGGAAGTCAGCCCAGCCTTCCTCCAATCAATCTTGGAAGCCCCTTATTTAGTGGTTCCAAGTCCAAATCCAAAACAGCCCAGTCAATGCAATCAAAATCCAAGGCTAAGTCCAAAGCTCCTATTGCTCCGACCCAGCCCAAGGGTCATTCACGGCCCAAGTCAAAATCCAAAGCTAAGGCTCAGCCCATTCCATCTCCTGATCAGCCCAAAGTCAAAGCTAAAGGAAAATCCAAATTATCTAAGGATGAAGTGCTCTAGCTCGTTCAACAAATTATGGATCAAAGTGAAGCCCATTCATCCAGTTCAGACAGTTCAGAAGAAGGATCAGAAAATTCACACTCTTCTGAACGATCAACCAATCAATATTCTGGTCCAGAGTTTCAAGATGCTCAGGATCCGTTTAATTAATCAACATAGGATTCCCTATAAATACAAATTAGCTTCAATCAATACTCTTTTGAGAAAAGCTGCCAATTTGTATTTATATTGATTCCTTTATTCACATGTTCCACCGAAAGCGATGAATAGTAAAAGTTACTATTCACTGTCACTATTCACTAATTAACTTTTGTTAAAGCTGCTTCAACTGTTCAATCAATCAGCCGAAAGCAACCGACAGCTCTGCTCAGTCCCCAATGCTGCCAGCTGCCTCTGATCATTCAAGTCATAAGCTGCATAGTTAGTTTGTTTGCATATATATTGTAATTAATTATATTCACTCAGGCAGTCTTCAATTTTCTTTCCATTTCTGAGTTGTAAGAAAAACCAGAGTGCTCTGAGTGACAATTACACTTTCCTGTTCTGTACCCTAATTAAAGATCCTTGCAGTTGCTACTATTGTAATTGTAAGTTATTTTTTCTGTATTTTAATTACAATGTTTTAGTAAAATGATTTTGTGTAATTAGTGCATTCCAATTTCAATTTTGATGTGCATCCCAATTTCAAGTTTGATTTCATAATCCATGTTCTTCATTCTGTTGCTGCTTTCGCATATATATATATATATATATATTATACCTATAGAAAAATGTTATGGATTTCAAATAATTAATTAAATTTTTTACCAAACCTCTCCCATGAGTGTGAGACTCACACAAATTCACATGTGTATGAGTCTCACACCATATAAGAAGTTTGATAGAAAATTTGATAAATTATTTGAGATTCCGAACATAACTCATATCTATATATATAAGAATTGCTTTGTTAAAGATGGCTGGTCTTTTTATTCCCATTTTACCCTTCATTTTCCTTTTATTTTACCATATGCACAATTGTCCTCATGTGATGACTAGGACAAGGAATATCCCCGTAGACTATCACAATTATTATTTTATCCAAAAAAGTTAATTTCACTAATGTCATAATTTTTATGATATTTAGGCTATTTTAGAAAGATGGTTACAATCATTTTTTTGGTTAAAAATTGTTTATAAACAGTTTTTTTGTAAGAGGAGAAGTGAGTTATAATCTGGGAAGTGGATTACAACCCACTTCCCAAAAGGGGCCTTAAGGGTTGGACTTTGGGGTTTGTGGAGCCTATCATGGATCCCGTTTTAATGATTCAAATTATTTATTTTGTAGAATGTTTTATGTATGTCATTTATAAAAAAATTAAGTCGATGTAATAATTGTAACATTTTAATTTTGTTGTATTTTTCTTCAAAAATGAGATGGTCTATTTTTAAAATGGTCATTCGTTTTTTTGAAGACACATGTAATAAAAGAAAAATATCGTAATTATCAAATTAACTTACTTTTTTTTGTGGATAATATACATAGTACAAAATAAATAGTTTAGATCTTCAAAATAGGACTATTGGTAAGCCTCATGCCTCTCAAGTTGAGATTTTTTTATTTTTTTTTATTTTTTGGATTTGAATATGAAAGAAAAACCCTTTACTTAGTCATTTATTTTCTCTATTTAACCTTTTATTTGAATATTAAAATTATATAAATTTTATACCGTGTTAAATAAACATTAGACTAATTTATTCTTATTTTTAAATTTTGATCTTGACTTAGAGCATTTCTACTTAAATTATCAATTTTGAGGTGACACTTTTAAGACTAAAATGTGATATTGTTGTGGTCCTTTCGAACGTATAAAATTGAGTTGTTAATTATTATGTCTTAATACCAAGGTTTTGTTTGGCATGTGTTAAAATAGCACATACTATCTTAACACATTATTTTATTTGGGTCGCAATCATCTTATTTTGATCATATCATATTTCTATCACATCATTTTAAATCCACTCCATATTTCACGTTTTTTCGTAAAAAAATAAAGAGTATATTAATCTAACACTATCCAAACAACTCCTAAATTTGGCATAACAAAAAAAAAATATATATCAAATCTTTTAATTTTCATTATTTTAATAGTAAGGACTTATAAAAGATTTTAAAAAATAAAAAATAAAAAATAAAAAATTTTGAAGTACAAATAATAACTATTATAACAGTCCAAATTATTTTTTTTTAATACAAATAACATGAATATTTTCATCTCAATTTTACTTCTTGACATATGAAAGTTTATAAATTTGTTTAAATTGTAAGAGATTCTTCTAATAGTATAGCGAAATGATATTCAGAAGCTGATAATCAGAAGCAAGGGGTGAGCAGCTTCTCAGAATCAGCTTTTTTGAGTTAAAATAAACTGTTAGAATCAGAAGTTGTTTGAAATAAATTTAACCAAACAGTCTAAAATAACTTTTTCAAAGCTAAAAGCCATAAATTGACTCTGAAAAGCTGAAACAAACACCCCCATAGCTTATAACTTTCAGCTTAAGCTGATTTCCAGCTTATTCTTAGAGCATCTCCTGCCCCACTCAAAGAATAAGCTGATTTCTGACTTCCAAAAAGCTATAAGTTATAAGCTAAACTAAACACATCAAAATAACTTAAATTAAGCTGAAAGCTAAAATAAGCTGTAATTAAGCTTTGCCAAACCGGCGCATATATGTGTAAGCTGTAATGTTGATCCAACCAATTACCATAACAAATGTACGTTATGCATGAAACAAATGTACCATAACAAATCTTTTAAGTAAATGCCCTCAACATTTGATCCAACCAATTACTATTAAACACAAAATTAAGTGCCCTCAGTCAGTGTAAGCTGTAATGTTGCTAGACACACTGGAAGACAGGGCTGTATTGAAATTGAAACAAATGTACCATAACAATGTGTCTTTATTCCTTAAAAAAAAAACAGTGTCTTTATGTACATCTCATGGTCAGGAATATACCTACAAATATTTGCAGCAATGTTACAATGTCAAATTGAATGCATTTTTCCTCTCAAAAAACAGAAAGAAAGAGTCGAACGCATTTTCAATTGTTCCAACCACAATACCTATGAACTATATTCTACAAACAAACTACTATAATGCCTATGAACTCCTCCCCCTCCAAACAACAATAATTTTATGCTTTTGAGACATTTCTCAATAGTTTCAAGAGCCACACAAAATTCATATGATGCCTTGAAGCACTTAATGGCATCTCTAAAGATGGGGGCAGGCCAGGTGAAGTGTGTTTCTACTTGGAACTACAGATAGTTGGCAGATAATTTGGAAGATTTCGACATCAATGCCAAGAATATATCGAATCATACTTGAAAATTTATCCTAACATGTTACTAGAGCAGAGCACATGGAGCTCAAAAGGAGACATCTTTCATACCCATATGGTGCTTGGGACTGGACCTCTCCAATTCCCGAACTAGAGTGAACCCATTCTCATCACCATTTATCATGGCTTTGTTGATTTTGCTTGTACCTCACCTCACCATTAGAATGATTTTAACCACACAAGTTCTAAGGAAAAAAATTGTTGCATACGGATAGTAACCACGTGGCAATGTCACGGTGTACCCTCTACCAATCACAAATAGCCATTTCTCGTCGCTTTCCAAACACCACCAAACTTATGAAACTCACTATTGAAGGCAATTACAAACTGAAGAAGCAACTACTGTGGCACTACCCTACCATGCAAAAAGATTTTCACATAAAGAACGTTTCATAAAGAGGGCGGTACTGTCGTGGTGGTACCTTATTCATATGCAAAAAGTCTCCACATAAGGAACATCTATCGAAGTCAATCACAATGGAAGAAGGAATTGCCATTGCAATAATCTATCCGTATGCGATAAGATCTCTACACAAGGAATTTCAATCAAAGTCAAACACAATAGAAGAAGGTACCACCACGGCAATACCCTATGCATTTGCAAAAAAAATAAATAAAACTATACATTAAGGAATGTGAAGACAGGTCTCATAGCTAGCAAATTGCAAACGACACAACTAGTACAATACCCATAAACTAAAATTCTAAAAACAAGAAACAAGAAACAACTGCTACAATACCTTTGAACTTGCCAACTCTAGCAGCTTTCAGTCTCCCCTAACTTCAAACACGATTGGATTTTTGAACCCCCTTCTCGTAGTACATCCATAAACATCATCAACAACATCCAATTTACTTCCATCCCATCCCAATAACCTCTTTTGCTTTCACTAATTAATACCATCTCCACAAAATTGTAAAGCAATTGATGTTCTACAAACCCTAGTTACAATTAAGGTAGAGGGTTCTTCCTAGGCCTGCCCCTTCCCCTCTTTTTCGGGGGCGATCCAACCGCTCCAATCGGAGTAGGATTCGAAACATCCCCAAACCCGCCACCCCCACCACTAGGCCCCGCTACCGCAGATGTTGGAAACATCTGCGGCTGGGGCTGGGGCTGGGGCTGGGGCTGGGGCTGGGGCGGTGGCTGCGGCCTCGGCTGGGGTGGTGGCTGTGGCCTCGGCTGTGGTGGCGGAGGCGTTGGTTTGGGAACACTTGCAAACTTCTTCTTCACATTTCCAACCTCCACATTACCAACTGTAAACCCCAATGGAAAAAACCCCCAACAGCAATAATACGCTTCTTTCCCCGGCACCAGCGGCGGCAATGAGGGGATCGAGGCGGCGTGAAAAGCCCTTTCACAATTCTGGCACCTCAAACAACAATCCACCAAACTCTTCGGATACTCATACAGATTGTAACAGTACGGACACGCAGTCCAGAAATTAGCCTCTCCACTACCTCCGCCTTTTTTACCACCGCTACTCCCCGCCGCCGCCGCCGTCTCCGCCGCCCGTCTCACCGGAAACTCCTGCTGATGCTGTTGTTGCGGAGGAGGCGGTGGTTGATCTTCTTGCTCGCGTCGGAACTGATGGAATTGGTGGTGATGAGGTCTCTGATTCTTGGAAGCGACCAAATCGACTTTGGAGAACAAGCCTAGGTCATTGTCGTACATAGATTTCTTGGTGGAATCGGAGAGGACGGCCCAGGCGGCGGCGACGAAGCGGAAGGCAGCGTCGGCGAGGGCGAACTTGTTCTTGTCAGGGTGGAGGAGGAGGGCGAGGCGGCGGTACTGGCGTTTGATGGATTCAAGGTCGTCGGAGCGGCGATCGACTTGCAGGATGGAGTACCAGTCGTGGTGGTTGTTGATCCGTTTCTGGGCGGCGAGGAGGACTTCGGCTACGGCCAGGATCTGATCGGGACCTTCTAATAAGGGCTCGGTTTCTTGAGCTAAGATTGCGAAGTCTCGAGAGCCGTTGAAATCTTGGCCTTGCAAGAGTTTCTCGGCGATTCCGAGTAATCGTTCTGCTTCGGCTCTCCTAGGATGACCTTCCATTTTTTGCCGATTTTGATTTTGATTTGGAATTGGATTTGGGTGTGATTGGGAACTGATAAAATGAGGGGAGGGAGGGTTTTCTGATGTGTTCACGCTGTGAAAATGGGGGTGAAAGTGGTGAACTATAACACACACACACACACACACACACAACTGTATGTCTAACAGCACAGAATACACTAATGACACAGCACTGACACACTGTGAGGCATTCGCCTGCTGTACATGTAGGATAATTATTTGGTGCTTCTCTGGCAAGTTCACGTGGCCTATAAAGCTTCGTTTGGCAAGGAGGTTTGGGGTTATTTTAATTATAAAAGACAAAATAGACTATTTTAGCCATAATAATCAAAACATCATATCTAATCCATAATCATTATACTATTCTCTCACAAAAAAATCAAAAAAACCAAAAAGTCCTTCCCAAACCAAGTTTTTTAACTCAGACTAAAATAATCGAAAAATTCAAAAAGCCAAAAACCCACTTCCCAAACGGTGGCTAAGTTGATTTCTATTGGTCAGTTGTTTGATTTATGAGACACAACCCTTAGGTGTTGTTTGACAAGTTGGTTTGTGATTAAAATAATCACAAAAGACAAAATAGGCTATTTTAGTCACAATAAACAAAACATCACTTCTAACCCATAATCATTACACTCTTCTCTCACAAAAAAATTCAAAAAATCTAAAAAGTTATTCCCAAACCAAACTTTTTAGCCCAAGCTAAAATAACCAAAAAAAACCAAAAACCCAAGCTACTTCCCAAACATAGGCTTAATTTATTGTGATTTTCAACTCTTAAATTAAAAAAAAAAAAATGTTAGAGAACCCAAATAAATTGGGAAACTTATTTATAAGTTATTTTTTAAACACTTATGGTAGGTTAAGTCCTGTGTAATTTCTTATAGAGTCTCAAATCCTATTTAGATATGAATGTATTCCACAAGATCCTACATAAACGTAACGTAACGTGACACCTACATAAACGTAACATAACGTAATGTGTCACGTTACGTTTCGCAAACTTAATGAGTTTTTATTTTTTTTAAATTGAATGTGAAAATGTTACTAGTTTATGTTGATGTCATGTTACGTTTCATATAAATATGATCTATGGTAACATTCAATTTCCTATATAAGAAATTGAATGTTGCCATAGATCATACGTGTCACGTTACGTTTATGTATGTGTCACGTTACGTTACGTTAATATGATCTATGGCAACATTCATAGGAAATTGAATGTTACCATAGATCATAGGTGTTACGTTACGTTTATATAGATGCCACGTTACGTTACGTTACGTTTATATAGATATGATCTATGGTAACATTCAATTTCCTATATATGATTTTACTACTATTTATGATATTAACAACTAATATTGAGGGTAAATGTGTCAACAAATTTCTCACAAGACTTATGGGAACATAAGTTTTTTAGTAGGACCATATGTAGCATAAGTCTCCCTAATAGGACTTATAAATAATTTTTTCAATATTTTACTAAATATTCTATCAAATATTTCATATAGGTATAGAACCCATGCCACGTAGGTCTCATATGGATCCCACACCTATGTAAGACAATTAAGATTGTTAACATTACTTTAAATTTAAAAAACGTACAAATTAACTTCACAAATTATTGACAACTATCACTTATTAGCTTATCAATAATGATACATTTCCCTAAAGGATGGAGTTCTAATAAACTTTAATGACATAGGAAAAAAAATAAAAAAATACAAACATCGCTGTCACCGTAAGACTCACCCCCGAATTAGAGCTCTGGAGTTATTTTATTAAAGCTCTAAAACATTTTTGATTAGTTTATTTCACTTTGATCCCTTTTATTATTATATTGTGGTCTTGTTTGGGAAGTTGACTATTTTAACCTAGTTAAAATAGTTGTGTTTGGAAAATTTGTTGTTTTTTTATTTTTTTTTATAATTGATTTGATGATTGTGAGAGAAAAAATAAAATAATTATGAGTTAAATGTGACATTTTATCTTATCAACTATTTTAATCTATTTTATCGTTTAATGAGTTATTTTAACCCGGCCTTCTTCCCACACACCCATGTGAGTTAAACCACACTTTTGACATTTTTTTAGACAAAAATATTCTTTAGCACTCTATATATTTACAATTTCATTATTATTGTTTTTTATTTTTTTAAAATATCCTTCATCCATTATTATTGTTTTGTTATTATTTTTTAAATATTCTTTATACATATATTTTTTCAAGGAGAATATTTTATAAAAATACTAACAAAAAAAAAATTCATAATATAAATATATATCAATTAGTGTTGAAGGATATTTTCATATAAAAAAAATCTAAATTTTAATTTAATTCATGATAAGTTTAATTTAATTCATGATATGGTAACAAAATAAATATACTAATAATTTAAAAGATCTATTTACACATTTTTATAATTTATGAAGTTAAAATAATATTTCTTAATAATTTATAAGATCTCCGTGTAAATTACCTTAAGACTATCAGATAGCTACTCTTACATGTGAGGTCCATTATGTTTACATTGGACGAGGCTACGTTGTGCATAAAGGGAGCTTGGAGTTTGTTTTTTAATGTCTTTTGTTAGCTTATTTTTATTTTTATTTTTAGTGATTTTTTTTTTATTTTTTTTTGTTTTAAAAAAAAATAAGTTTTAGATTCTACTTAGTGAAACCAATAGAAAAATTGAAAAAAAATAAAAATAAAAATTAAAAAAGACAAAAATAAGTAAAAGATTGCTTGATTTGAGTTTTCTAAAAATACTTTTCAGAAAATTTTACTTTATTATTTTTCGTATTTTTTTTTATTTTTACTGAATTTTTAAAATATTTTTAGCAATTTTTTTTTAAATTTTTAAACACACCTAACATAAATACACTTAAAAAGTATAATTTTTGTGATTTTGTTTTCAAAAATTTACTAAATACCAAAAATATAAAAAAAAATACGAAAATTCAGTATATTTTTCATATTTTTTCTGTATTTATTAATTTTTTAAAATATTTTTTCACAAATATTTTACTTTTTAGACACATCTAAGTAAGATGCATCTAGAAAAGTAAAAAAAAATGCTTAAAATTTTAAAAATATTCACTAAAAACAAAAAAATATGAAAAATAAAAAATTTAATTTTCAAAAAACTTAATTCAAAAACTCAAACCAAACACACTGAATATTTCTTTTAGGACAAATTATAAAAATGATCCCTATAATTTATCCGTAGTTTCATTTTGATCCATGCACTTCTAAATGCATTAATTTTATCCTTATAATTTAGTTTTTGGCTTGATATAGTCCCAATAATTAACGGCCGTTGAGTTTTTGGATGGAAACCCCACACGCGCCTTGCATGCACGAGACTTGCAAGGGACCAAAATGGCTACTCTGGTCCAGAAAAACCCTAACCTCAACCTTAACCTCCCACCACCTCCACCTCCTCCGCCACACTCTCGCTACCGAAGCAGCCCTAGCGGTGATGGCCAAGATCACAGAATTGCCAAATCAAGTGAAATGGGACTACAGAGGACAGAGGAAGATCATCCCCCTCGGTCAGTGGCTTCCCAAGATCGCCGTCGACGCCTATGTTGCCCCCAACGTCATGCTCACTGGCCAAGTCAGCGTTTGCGATGGAGCCTCTGTTTGGAATGGATCGGTCTTTCGAGGCGATCTCAACAACATCGCTGTTGGATTCTGCTCCAATGTATAGGAGAGGTGCATCGTCCACGTAGCTTGGTCTTCTCCCACAGGTTCCACTTGGTATTCTACTGTTTTTGTTTTTATTAGGGTTTTGGTTTCAGTCAAGATGTGTTTGGTTGTTGAGAAAATATAGGAAGAAACTAACCTCTGAATATCAATAGAAATTTAATATGTAGAATTTCATTCACTTAACTGAGCCCAAGACAAAATTTATGATCAGTTGCTAAATTTAGGTTTAGAGTGATGCCTTATCCAAATTGTGGATATGGAAGTTTAGAAAATTTGATTTGAATGGATGTTACAATTTAATGTTTTTATCACTACATCTTGTTGATTGTTTATGGTGCTACAGTTCACTTGCAATAGTTGCTGAATGTTGGTGTTTGAAGTGTTTTCTTGCCTGAATGGGTCTTAGATTAATGTTTTCTTGTTGAACTAAATATAGAAAACGCAGCATTGAGAGTGTTGAGATCTCAAATTTAGTTAGTTTAGATTAGAATGTTTGGCACTTGAAATTGTCAAAATTAGAAAACATGTACATTTTTTCAAAATCATGTTTAAAAGTCCCGTACGTGCAAGGAATGCATGGGGTTTCGTCCAAAAGCCCAATTGCCGTTAACTATTAGACCATATCAAGTCAAAAACCAAATTATAAGGATAAAATTAATGCATTTAGAAGTGTAGGGACCAAAATGAAACCATGAGTAAACTATATGGACCATTTATGGTATTTGTCCTTTTTTTATACTTATTTTCACTTTTAAAATTTTCTATGGAGCATTTCATTTTTTTTTTTTTAACTTTTTAGATTTGTCTACGCAATACGAATAGGAGAAGTAAAAAAAAAAGAAAAACTCTAACATCATTTTGAAAAAAATTTCACTAAAGACAAAAAAAATAATGTGCCTTATTTAAAAGTTTCCACCAGTTTTTACAAAAATTCGTAATAAAAATAAAATAGATATGATATAGGCCACTAGTAGAGCTATTTTTTAGAGTAGCTCTACTGAGCTGGCATGCACCCAAAAAAAAAAAAAAAAACAAAACACAAAGAGAAAAAGGACAAATTAATACTCTTTTAATGCTCTAAATCATTTTCTAATAAAAATCACATGTAATATTACTATTGTAACTTTAGAGTTTAGAGTGCATAGCATAAATATGTAGAACTTAAAAAGAAGAAGTTAAAGATGCCAAGTTCTTTCATTTTGTGGTTGATCAGAAAATTAAGAATAAAAATCAATCAATGTGTTCGATTTTAATTTTTTGAAAATTAAATTATTTATTTTTCATATCTTTTTGTTTCTAGTGAATGTTTTTAAAATTTTGAGTAATTTTTTACTTTTTTAGATGCACTTGACTTACATGTATCTAAAAAGTAAAATATTTGTAAAAAACTATTTTAAAA